AACTTGGCAGACATCAGTCTACGCTCAATTCAGTACGTTATGGCAAATTTCGTGCAAATCGAAAGATATATAGGGACTTTGGGGCACCATTTACATGAAATCGGACGAAACTATATATGGGAGCTATATCTAAATCTGGACCGATTTTCTCGAAACTTGGCAGACATCACTCTACGCTCAATTCAGTACGTTATGGCAATTTACATGAAATCGGACGAAACTATATATGGGAGCTATATCTAAATCTGGACCGATTTTCTCGAAACTTGGCAAACATCACTCTACGCTCAATTCAGTACGTTATGGCAAATTTCGTGCAAATCGAAAGATATATAGGGACTTTGGGGCACCAGTTACATGAAATCGGACGAAACTATATATGGGAGCTATATCTAAATCTGGACCGATTTTCACGAAAATTGGCAGACATCATTCTAGACTTAAATGATTAGGCTGTACCAAATTTCGTGCAAATCGAAGGATATATAGGGACCGTTTACATTAAATCGGTTAAATATATATATGGGAGCTATATCTAAATCTGAACCGATTTTTCCCAATTTCAATAGGGTTCGTCCTTGGGCCGAATAAGTGACCTATGCCAAATTTCATCCAATTCGGATAATAAATGCAGTAACAATTTAACATGGACAGACAGACGGACAGACGGACAGACGGACAGACGGACGGACGGACGGACGGACATGCATAAATCGTTAGAAAGTGATTCTATGCATATTCTCAAAAGGAACCATGTGTCTATCTCGTTCCCTTTTGCCTGTTACAAACATATGCACAAAGACATAATACCCTGTACCACAGTGTGGTGAAGGGTATAATGAGATATCAAATGACAGAAAATCGTGGTTCTTTGGAGAAGTTGTTTACCCAATAAGGTCCCGGAATGTCAATTTACAGCCACTACGTAATATTAAACTATATTCACTGGAGTTGGACCACCAAAATACAACTACTGCCACAAAACTACTAATAAGAGGACATTAATATTTTATAGATGGGCAAATCAATTAGAAATCAAAATATCAAATAAGAGACACACGGTTTAAAACATGTCAGAAATCCAAAATACCAAAATTTAGGGATACTGCAGCTGGACCATAAAAACTCGCCTACAAAAGTGCCTATAAAATAACCTTTATATGGAGGTAATATTCAAAGATCGACCGATTTTTATAATTTTCAACAGTAAGATGAGCAACAAAATGAAAACAAAAAATATAAACTAAGAACCAACTGGGTTGACAACATATCTGAAATCCAAAATATCGTAATTTGGGGATAATAAATTGACTGTACCACAACAGGGTCATACATTGAAAAAACTCGAAACGGGCTCAAAAACCTGCCCAAATTAACGAACAATTTGAGCGACCGTTATATTTGGGCTATACCAAAAGGTGGACCAAGGACAACCTACAATTTGTGAGCTACCCAGAAACATCGTCCAACATTTATAATTTTTGGTACGGAAATTATTAACCCAACGAAAATCTAAAGTCGGACGGGGCCGACTATATGATACCCTTCACCACTTTGGGTATATTCAACAGATGAATCCTAATAGACGTCGCATTTTTAAAGGACCAGTAAAATGAAATTGTATCCATAAACATGTCATTCTGCAACCGATACTAAATTTTTCATTTGGTCAGATATAGAAGCTATATCTATTCCGATTTTTAGGTAACTTAACACACATTATTCTAGACCTTATTCATTACGCTGTGCCAAAATTCGTGCAAATCGAAAGATATATAGGGAATTTGGTGCACCATTTACATTAAATCGGCTAAAAATATATATGGGATATATATCAAAATCTGAACCGATTTTCATGAATCTTAAGACACATCATTCTAGGCCTAATTCATTACGCTGTGTTAATTTTCATTCAAATCGAAATATATGTAGGGACTTTGGAGCACCATTTACATTAAATCGGACAAAACTATATATGGGAGCTATATCTAAGTCTTCACCAATTTTCACGAAACTTAGCACACATCATTTTGGACCTAATTCAGTAATCTATGCCAAATTTCGTGCAAATCGAAAGATATATAGGGACTTTGGTGCACCATTTACATTAAATCGGACGAAAATATATATGAGAGCTATATCAAAATCTGAACCGATTTTCAGGAAACTTAACACACATAATTCTAGACCTAATTCATTGCGCTGTGCCAAATTTCGTCCAAATCGAATGGTATATGGGGACTTTGGTGCACCATTTACATAAAATCGGACGAAAATATATATGGGAGCTACATCCAAATCTGAACCGATTTTTCCCAATTTCAATAAGGTTCGTCCTTAGGCCAAATAAGTGACTTGTGCTAATTTCATCCAAATCGGATCATAAATGTGACCTGTACTTTGTTTAGAATTTAAAATGGATAGTCAGACGGAAGGATGAATGCATAAATCGACTCAGAAAGTAATTCTATGCATATTCTCAAAAGGGACCATGTGTCTATCTCGTTTCCTTTTGCATGTTACAAACATATGCACAAAGACGTAACATTTTTTTGAATTAGTATTTTAACCAGCAGAAAATTCGAGTTTCCAAATATTCTGAAGCCGTACCAAAAAGTGGTATCCTTCTTTGATTTTAGCTGTATCGATGTATCCCACGACAAAAAGAGAATTTCTTCTTTGCAATTTTTGCGTTCCTCTGGTCTCCCGGAGACTTAACCCTCTTCGCTGCTTCCAAGTAAATGGAGGAGAGCTCAGGTTTATCCTTAAAGAAGGACCTCGAAGAAGATAATTAAGTCTCAAGCCTGCTGTGCGCTGTTACTTCCCAGGTTCACCCTGTGGAGTTACAACCCCAGACAATTTTTTATGGATTTTGACAATATCTTTATTCATTTCTTCCACTGTCTTATTGTCCATTCACTCCTTCGACATTTTATGACAGTTATGTCGTGTTTAATTTGAGTTCTCCAAAGGTAGAGTCGATATTGTTCTTCCCCCTTTTTCTTGAACACAGATCCTAGTTTGTCTCCTTACTTATTTCTTCCTGAATCTGATATGTCTGACATTATAAATGGTTCTGTCGTTGTTGTTATTCTTGTTCATCGATGGTACTTATACCATCGACTACAGATGCCAAGGCAACCATATCCATAGGAGATGTTTGCTTAGTTAATGTAGGAGATGCTTGCTTGCAGGATCAATAAGGGGCGTAAATTATGGGCAGATCAACGGGTTATTTATATATATATGATAACCAAGCGAGTATACAGTATTACCAGCTTAAAAAGGCATAGATATTTTAATAAAAATAATTTTTGAAAGCCCCTAAAAGGAGAATTTTTTTTCATAAAATAGTTTTAAGGCTTATCAATACGTAGATTTTTTAAAGGAGGTGTTGATTTTTTAAAATATTTTTCGAATAGGCGTTGGTTTGGAAAAAATCTAGCACAGCGCCATTGATTGAAATTCCAATTAGGCGTAGATTTTTTAAAACTGTTTTTAAAGGACCTAACAAGGCTTAGGGTTCTTTAAAAATGTTTTTAAAGGACCTAAGAAGGCGTAGATTTCCTTAAAAATGTTTCTAAAGGACCTAACAAGGCGTAGATTTCCTTAAAAATGTTTCTAAAGGACCTAACAAGGCGTAGATTTCCTTAAAAATGTTTTTAAAGGACTTAACACGGCGTAGATTTCTAGATTTCCTCGATTTCTTTAAACATATTTTTTTTTTTTTTTGAAAAGCCTTGCAGGGCGCATTTTTATTTTTTTACACATGCATTATACTCTGTACCATACTATGGTGTAGGGTTCAAAAAACCTCCTCGTCCTTATCCTCACAAAATGCAACCCCTATGACACACTCAAAACATCCAAAGCAAACCTTACTCAACATTTAAAATCCTGCCAAAATATTCTTTCATTTGATTTGGGTTCTTGTTAACCGGGGCAAATAAATTTTGTGGTTAGAACATTGAAAGAAATATGGTTCCGTCACACCCCTACACAATCTGAAATTCAAAAATCCACAACAATTCGTATTCAAGGACTAAAATATGTCAATGCACACAGAAAACGCAATATTTACGTTCGGAAAATCTCTTTAAGGAACATTAATCAAATGTTTTGCGTTGTGTTTTTCTTTTTGTGGCGTTTTGTGTGGCTGTCGGTCTGAGCTTGGCGGAAAATTTAACAAGTGATGAGACTGTCGGGAAATCTTTCAAGATATGTTTGTGTAGGTGTTACACACACATACACTCAAAAACCACAACACTTTTATGTATGCCTGCCTGTGTATTCAAATTTTGTGTCTTTGTGGGAAATATTTTAGCAAGATTGTTGAAAATTTCATTCTGTCACTTTTCCACTCTACCTTTCAACAGAAACACACACAGAGAGACATACATATATACAATTCACATTGTATTAGCATAAACTTAGACAGTCACTTAGGTTTTCGTGCATACGTTATGCTAACACTTTCATACATATTTTGAAAAACGTTGATGCACACACCGACACACACACATACATTGAATGCCAATCAGTAACCAAATCCAAGCCTTGCCACCTTCATGGAATCTCTGTTGAACTGGTTAACGACGTTCATTTGAATGTCAAACCGCAACAATTTAGTTTTGAATTTTCTTTCAGCTGGCAATTGTTTGGGGGAGGGCGGGTTGGCCCTAAAATTGATGGTGGAAAAGGTGTGTACTGTGTATAAATTTTATGGTTAGCAGTGTGGAGAATTTATACAGGCTTCCACTTGAAAATTTATTACTGTTTTGTTTTACAAAATTTTGAGCCATAGTGTACCTATTTAAATTTCGAAAAGGGCTTCTCCCAAAATGTCAATGCCTCTCTTCATCACTTAAATATATTTATGTGCACACTTATCTTAAATACACACACGAACACACCCTTACGTATACCCACACACACATACATGCATACATATATATGTCGCATGTATATGTTAAAATATAACAAAGTGACAAAATGCCCGCTTACCTTGGTGGTGGATCCGCTTGAATTTCACACGCAACTTCGACAGTTTCATCCTTTGAGGCTCCAATTAAGATGACACGATCTAAATGTTTGCAAATTGGTGTATCTGTGAAAAAGAGAAAATTAAATGAGAAATGTATGTAAATATGAGATGTATAATGTATGCATATATACATACATATATTATATACAAATTCTATATAAGTATATGTTGAAGATTTAAATTATGTTGAAGTATGTGTGGATAATATTGCCATGGGTATTTCCTGCCTACATTCCCTCATTATGATGACATCAAATATGGTTGTATGGCTTTGAGCGGGTTGCTTAAGTGTGTGTGATTGTGTGTCACTTTAATTTAGGTGAAGTTGGTCTGAGAGTTTTGCGGAATATGTGTGACAATAAGTGAAGCTATAAGTGTGACAATAAGTGAAGCTAATGAGACTTATTAAAAATATTTTTATGAAGTTCCAACAAGGCCTAGGCGTAGATTTTTTAAAAATATTTCATAAGGGCCTAGTTAGGCATAAATTTTTTAAGAGCCTAGAAAGGGCGTAGATTTTTTAAAAATATTTCATAAGGGCCTATATAGGCATATATTTCTTAAAAACCTAGATAGGCGTAGATTTTTTAAAAATATTTCATAAAGGCCTAGATAGGCATAGATTTCTTAAAAGACTAGATAGGCGTAGATTTTTTAAAAAAGATTTCATAAGGGCCTAGATGGGCATAGATTTCCTAAAAGCCTAAGATAGGCATAGATTTCTTAAAAGACTAGATAGGTGTAGATTTTTCAAATATATTTTTAAAGAGTTAGATAGGCGTCGATTTTTATATCCTTCACCGCACTGTGGTACATGGTATTATGTGTTTGTGCATATGTTTGTAACAGGCAAAAGGAAACGAGATAGACACATGGTTCTTTTTGAGAATATGCAGAGAATCAATTTCTAAATCGATTTATGCATGCCCGTCCGTCCATCCTACCGTCCCTCCTGTCCTCTGTCTGTCTGTCCATTTTAAATTGTAAACAAAGTAAATGTCGCATTTATTATCCGAATTGGATGAAATTTGGCATAGGTCATTTATATGGCCCAAGGACGAACCTAATTGAAATTGGGAAAAATCGGTTCAAATTAAGATATAGCACCCATATATATTTTCGTCCGATTTAATAAAATTATGTACCTATATACCTTTCAATTTTGACGAAATTGGGCACAGCGTAATGAATTAGGTCTAGAATGACGTGTTTTCAGTTTCCTGCAAATGGGTAGAGATTTAGATATAGCTCCCATATAAAGTTTCTTCCGATTTTCAATAAATTGTGCACCAATATACCTATATATCATTCGATTTACACGAAATTTAGCACAGCGTACTGAATTAAGTCTAGAATGATGTGTGCTAAGTTCCGCGAAAATCGGTCTAGATTTAAATATATCTCCCATATATATTTTCGTCCGATTTTCAATAAATGGTGCACCATAGTCCTTATATATTTTTCTATTTGCACGAAATTTGACACAACTTACTGACTTAAGCCTAGAATGATGTGTGCTAAGTTTCGCAAAAATCGGTTAAGATTTAGATAAAGCTCCCGTATATATTTTCGTCCGATTTAATGTAAATGGTGCACAAAAGTCCCTAAATATATTTCGATTTGCACGACATTTGGTACAGTGTACTGAATTTAGCCTAGAATGATGTGTGCCAAGTTTCGCAAAAATCGGTTCAGATTTGGATATAGCTCCCATATATATTTTCGTCGGATTTCTGGAGAGTTATAAACCAAACTCCCAATATTTGTCCGATTGGCACCAAATTTTGCACAGAGTATTGAATTAGGTCCAGACTAATGTCTGCGAAGGTTTGTTAAAATGGGTTCAGATTTAAATATAGCTCCCATATATAGTTTCGTCCGATTTTAAGTGAGTGATGCACCAAACTCCCAATATTTGTCCGATTGGGACAAAATTCTGCACAGAGTAATGAATTAGGTGCAAACTGATGTCTGCGAAGTTTTGTTAAAATTGATTCAGATTTAGACATAGCCCCCATATATAGTTTCGTCCGATATTTTTTTTTTTTTTTTTTGCATGATACACTAAACTCACAATATTTGTCCGATTGGGACAAAATGTTGTACAGAGTACTGAATTAGATCCAGACTAATGTCTGCGATTTTGTAAATCGGTTCAGATTTTGATATAGCTCCCAAACTCCCAATATTTGTCTGATTGAGTTAAATTTTTTGCATAGCGAATGCTACTGAGAAAAAAAATATGAGTGATAAGGTTCGTTGAAATCGGTTCAGATTTTGATATACGTCTTATAGATATTTTCGTTCGATTTTATGTAAATGTTTGTTATACGAAATTTGGCAGAGGGCATTAAATTGAGTAAAGTGATTACAAAAAACAAATGGTGTATGCAACGGTTACTCAATTAGGTCCATGTGCTTATATATAGCTCCCATACATAATATGGCCCGATTTCATACATATGGTACACCAAAGAATCCAATTCCGTCCATTTGACATGAAATTTTTCATTGTTTTCAGAATGGTATGTGTATGGGGATTTTCAATTGGTTCAAATACCTATCTAGATAGCACATTTAATTTCGCCCGATTCCATCTCAATGGTCCTCCAAAGATTCTATGAGCGTCCTATATACAGGATATTGTAGATATTAACATGTCTGGCATGTACCCAAAGTGGTGAAGATTATATAGTCGGCCACGTCCGACTTTTGAACTTTCTTACTGGTTTTTAAATCATTTTTTTCAAAGCCTAAACGATTTTTTAAATAAATTTTTTCAACACCTAAACAAGGCGCAGGTTTTTTAAATAATTTTGTTCACACGTAAACAAAGCGAAGATTTTTAAATAATTTTTTTTCGAGGTCTAAATTTTGAAGCCCTAATAAAAAAATGTTTTATTTTGTCAAACCCCAAAATAAATAAATAACCTTGTCAAAACCTCAAAACAATTTATTTCATATTTATATAATTGCATCTTTATGTGTGCGGTCACACAAACAAAAAACAATTTTTTTCTCTTCATTTTTAAGGACTTCTTAAAAATATTTTCCAAACAATATATCATTTTGTTTGAAAAAAAAATTACTTACAAAAGACAATAATTTATTACTTTTATTTAAATGTCACACAAAAATGGGCCATCTCTTTGTCATCTTTTTTTTTTTTTGTTTCCATCCCAAAGCCAAACCGCAAAGTTGTTACCCTTGTAAAACTGAAACTTTCAACAGCAGCAGAAACAACAACAACAAGAAACAATCTTATCACTCCCTTCGTCAAACACACCAGGAGTCCACAAGGAAGTCAAGTGTGCGTGTCGGTGTGTGTGCGTCCATGGAAAATGATGCAAACGTAAACGCAACGACAAACACACTTATCATCATCATTTGACTTTGACATATTGTTTAACAACTTCAGAAAAAACAACTAGAAGGAAAAACTAAAGTTCAGAATAAAAATAACAGTTGACTGGATTTTGTTTTCCCTCTCATAAGAAGTTCGTTTATTATAATAGTTATTGTAGTTGTTGTTCTTTTGCATATCCCTAAAAGATTGCAATTGGAGCTGGGATAGTTTGAGGGCAAACCATAATTGAAACAATGTTATTTTTTCGGTTGTATGGAACAAAATTTAAGGACTGACAGAAAATAGATTTATAAAAATTAATTTTTTGAAGAGCTGACAGAACATAGATTTTTTTGAAGCTGGCCAGAGCGTAATTTTTCACAAAATAATTATGATGAAGATTTTTGTACCTCGAAAGCCGTACATTTTTAAAAAAATATTTTTTGAAGCCACCACAAGGCGAGGATTTTTTTAAAAATATTTTTTGAAGGATCTAGCAAGGTTTAGATTTTTTAAACATATATTTTACAGCGTCTAGAAAATCGTAGATTTTTAATAAAATATTTTCAGAATAGCCTAAAAAGGTTTAGATTTTTAATAAAATATTTCATGAATGGCCAAACAAGGCGTAGATTCTTAATAATATATTTTCTAAAGGTCCTAACAAAGCATAGCTTTCAATAAAACATTTTCCGAAAGGCCTAACACGACATAGATTTTTAATAAAATATTTTCTGAAAGGTCTAACAAGGCCTCGATTTTGAATAAAATATTTTCTGAAGGGCCTAAAAGTCGTAGATTTTAAATAAAATATTGAATAAAAATTTTTCCGAAGGGTCTTACGAGGGTCTAAAGGCCTAGCTAGGTAAAAATTCTAGATTTTTTTCGAAGGATTATCACATTGTAGATTTTTAATAAGACTTAACAGACTTTTAAAACGGCCTAACAAAGCGTAGATTTTTAAAAAGGCCTTACAAAGCGTAGATTTTTAAAAGGGCCTTACAAAGCGTAGATTTTTAAGAAGGCCTTACAAAGCGTAGATTTTTAAAAACAGCCTTACAAATCGTAGATTTTTAAAAAGGCCTTACAAAGCGTAGATTTTTAAGAGGCCTAAGGCCTAAAAGCCGTCAATTTGTAAAAAAAGTCAGAAGGGCCTAGCAAATCCTAGATTAAACCAGTAAGGAAAGTAGTAAAGTCGGACGGGGCCGACTATATGATACCCTTCTCCACTATGCGTATATTAAACAGCATTATTAACATGAAATTGGATGAAATAAAATATGTGATATTTATCTAAATGTGAATCGGACTAGATCTACCCATAAACATGTCATTCGTTTGGGACAAAAGTATGAAAATCGACTTCAAACAAATATCAATAGGTCATCCGTTGGGCTATGTCTGTACTTCTATAAAACGTAACTACGTTATTCTAGGCTCAATTTTGTACGTTGTGCAAAGCTTGATGTCAATCTGACAAACATGAGGAGTTTGATGTACAATTTACTTAAAATCGGACGAAAATATATATGGAAGCTATACCCAAATATGAAACGATTTCAACGAAACTTGTCACAGGTTAAGTTATACTAATTTCGGTACGTTTAGTTCGTATCAGCCACATATTGGTTTCTTGGTGCGTCAATTACATCCTTACTTCATATCAGCTATATCTAAATCTCAACCGATTTCTACGATAGTTGGCATTTATATGAAATCGGACGAAACTATATATGGGAGCTATATATAAATCTGGGCCGATTTTCATGAAACTTGGCAGACATCATTCTAGACTCAATTCAGTACGTTATTCCAAATTTCGTGCAAATCGAAAGATATATAGGGACTTTGGTGCACCATTTACATGAAATCGGACGAAACTATATATGGGAGCTATATAAAAATCTTGTCCGATTTTCACGAAACTTGGCAGACATAATTTTAGACTTAATTCAGTACGCTGTGCCAACTCGAATGATATATAGGGACTTTGGTACACCATTTACTTTAAATCGGACGAAACTATATATGGGAGCTATATCTAAATCTGAACCGATTTTCTCGAAACTTGGCACAATAACTCTGGACCTAATTCAGTACTCTGTGCCAAATTTCATGCAAATCGAAAGATATAGAGGGACTTTGGTGTCCCATTTGCCTTAAGTCGAACGAAAAAACTATATATGGGAGCTATATCTAAATCTAAACCGATTTTCTCGAAACTTGGCACATATCATTCTGGACCTAATTCAGTACTCTGTTCCAAATTTCATGCAAATCCAAAGATATAGAGGGACTTTGGTGCCCCATTTACCTTAAATCGGACGAAAATATATATGGGAGCTATATCTAAATCTGAACCGATTTTTCCCAATTTCAATAGGGTTCGTCCTTGGGCCAAATAAGTGACTTGTGCCAAATTACATCCAAATCGGATTATAAATGCGACCTGTACTTTGTTTACAATTTAACATCTACGGACGGACAGACGGACGGACGGACGGACATGCACAAATCGACTCAGAAAGTGATTCTATGCATATTCTCAAAAGGAACCATGTGTCTATCTCGTTTTCTTTTGCCTGTTACAAACATATGCACAAAGACATAATACCCTGTACCACAGTGTGGTGAAGGGTATAAAAATATCTTCTTCTTAAAAATATATCTTCTTCATAAAAAGGCGACGATTTTTTTAATAACATGTTTTCTGAAGGGCTTAGCAAGGTGTAGATTTTGAATAAAATATTTTCTGAAGGGCCTAAAAGGCGTAGATTTTAAATAAAATATTTTCAGAAGGGTCTGAAGGCCTAGCTAGGTGAAAGTTCTAGATTTGCTCCGAATGACTATCCCATTCTAGATTTTTTAATTAAATATTTAAATTTTCGCAGTCAACAAAAGCACAAAGAATTCGTCTTATATATTATCTATTGCATCTCGATGCAACAAACATACCACCCACCAGCCAAGCTAATCAAGGATTTTTTCCCGTGAAATTTTGACTCACTGAGTGAATTGCCATAGCATGACAAGAAAACTAAAATAAAAAACTTCAAAACTATAAGAAATTACTTTTGAAGTAACTGCTGATTAATGTTGGGATTTATGAAAGTGAACAGATAGAAGCTGTGTTGCAAACACCGACACTGGGTTTGCGAGATGCAGCGAGTGGGAGACCAAGATTAAGTTATGAGTTTCAGGAGGAGAGGGGGAAATTTAATTTCCCTAGTTAAACTTAATTTCAACTGGGTTGTATGCAGCTAATAGTAATTGAAGAAAACAACAATAACAACAACAACAACAACGTTTAATAATTACGAGGGTGGTTGAAAAAATGGGAGGACTATTTTGATAAATGAAAAATATTAATTCCATAGAAATATAATCCATATGATCGGCTAAAAAACATATAAAATTTGAATATATATTTTGAAAAATATTAGTATTATTATTTTTGTTAATACTACCCTCGTTCCATTCCAAATCCAGCAGCTGCATCATTATTCACCACTTTATATATGTGCATCGTATTTAGATATTACATTACTAAGGTTACCAGAAACTGTTTTGTAATATTCTTTCCAGTGCAACTGCTCTTGTCGCCCGTAACTACTTAGCTTGAAAAAGTAATGCCAAGTAGTTCAGTGAAGAACTGCATAATTTCAAATGATATATTGTAAGGTGGATTAAATGTGAAGTGTTTTGAAAAATTATTTCAAGTTTGCTCCAACAAACTAATAAAATATAACATTTAATAAATTTCAAAGAAATATGTATTATTTTAATAATAGGTTTTTAAGGCCCGAAGCCCGAACATGCCGTAGAATTTTAATAAAATATTTTTTTTAACACCCTTAAAGCGTAGATTTATTATAATATATTTTTTTAAGACCCATTAAGGCGTACATTTTTAATAACATATTTTTGTAGACCGAACAATGCGTAGATTTTTAACAAAATATTTTTTGTAGATCGAACAAGACGTAGATTTTTAATAAAATATGTTTTTGTACACCCAACATGCCGTAGATTCTTAATAAACAACACTTTTGAAAACCGAACAAGGCGTAGATTCTTAAGAAACAACATTGATTTTTAATAAACAATTTTTTTGAAGGCAGAGACGTAGATTCTTATTAAAAAGGCATTCATTTTTAATAAAAACAAGTGAAAACGCGTTAAGCTCGGCCCGGCCGAACTTTGGATACCCTCCACCATAGATATACTGACAGGTACTTGAAATGAAAATATAGGGAACATACTAGCAAGTGAGCTTTCTTTAAACTGTTTACCATAATGTACACCAAATACAAATTTCAGCAATTTTTAATGGATATTTATACCCTCAGCCTTATGACTAATGAGGATGTATACACTTTGATACAGTGCAAATGTGCCTCATCGAAATATTGGTTCTAAACCCCATGTTTCTTTGGACCAAAACCGATTGTCAGGAAACTTAACACACATCAATTTAAACCTAAGTCATTACGCTGTTCCAAATTTCTTGCAAATCGAAAGATATATAGGGACTTTGGTGGTCTATTTACCTAAAATCGGGCTAAACTATATATGGGGGCTATATCTAAAACTGAACCGATTTTTCCCAATTTCAATAGAGTTTGTCCTGGGGCCAAATTAGTGACCTGTGCCAAATTTCATCCAATTCGGATCATAAATGCGACCTGTACTTTGTTTACAATTTAACATGGACAGACGGACGGACGGACATGCATAAATCGACTCAGAAAGTGATTCTATGCATATTCCCAAAAGGAACCATGGGTCTATCTCGATTATTTTGCCTGTTACAAACATATGCACATATGAAGGGGGATGAACTGAGGGAGTATTTTTAGACGAGGAGAAGGAAATCTCAGTTTGGGGTCTTTATAGAGGAGTTGATGAGAGTCTTCGTGCTGTAGGGAGTCTTTATAGACGTGCTGGAAGGAAGTCTTTATAGACTTGCTGGAAGGAAGTCTTTATAGACAAGCTGGAAGGAGTACATGTAGACGTGCTGAAGGAAGTCTGTGTAGACGTGCTGAAGAAAATATCCAGTCACCATCCATTTTAATTTTTGCACAACATGGCGTTTTCTACACAGAGACTTGCAATGAAAATCGACAAAATCCGTTTGGCGAAAGTTTTTTTTCGGCATAAGGTGTATATATTCAGAAAGTACGTTTCGAGACCTTTCATTTGATGTGGGTCTCCATACTGCGTCCATTTTAGTTTTTGCGCAATATGGCGTTTTCTACACAGAGTCCCCACTGCCACTGAGACTTGCAATGAAAATCGAGAAAATCCGTTAGGCGAAAGTTTGTTTTCGGGCATAAGGTGTATATATTCTGAAAGTACATTTCGAGACCTTTCTCCATACTGCATCCATTTTAATTTTTGCGCAATATGGCGTTTTCTACACAGAGTCCCCTCTTTTTTCCACAACATGGCGTTTTCTACACAGACTCCCCATTGTCACTGGAAAATCGAGAAAATCCGTTTAGCAAAGTTTTTTCTTCGGTATAAGGTGTACATATTCTGAAAGTACATTTCGAGACCTTTCAATTGATGTGGGTCTCCATACTGCATCCATTTTAGTTTTTGCGCAATATGGCGTTTTCTACACATAGTCCCCACTGTCACTGAGACTTGCAATGAAAATCGAGAAAATCCGTTAGGCGAAAGCTTGTTTTTCGGCATAAGGTGTATATATTCTGAAAGTACATTTCGAGACCTTTCAATTGATGTGAGTCTCCATACTGCATCCATTTTAGTTTTTGCGCAATATGGCGTTTTCTACCCAGAGTCCCCACTGTCACTGAGACTTGCAACCAAAATCGAGAAAATACGTTAGGCGAAAGTTCGTTTTTCGGCATAGGGTGTATATATTCTGAAAGTACATTTCTAGACCTTTCAATTGATGCGGGACTCCATACTGCATCCATTTTAGTTTTTGCGCAATATGACGTTTTCTACACAGAATCTCCACTGTCACTGAGACTTGCAATAAAAATCCGTTAGGCTAAAGTTTGTTTTTCGGCATAGGGTGTATATATTCTGAAAGTACATTTCGAGACCTTTCAATTGATGTGGGTCTCCATACTGCATCCATTTCAGTTTTTGCGCAATATGACGTTTTCTACACAGAGTCCCCATTGTCTTAAAACAATTTTCTGTAAATGGCGCCCAACGTCAATTTATTTATAAATATTATATTGGTATTCCTCACTTAAATCATATTTTGAAATAATTAACAATTTTAATGTGTATTTAGTGAATTTTTAATCAATATTTTGAATCTAAATTGTTGTATTTTATACATACATATAAAATCTAATAAAAAAATCTAATTTCCTTACAGTAGACGAATTTTTAAATACAAAAATTCTGCAAATCTCACGTAGAGTTTTTAGCAAACTCACGCACACCTTTACAAAAGCCAGCATACAATTAGACATTCAAAATTCTAGATAAGCACATCAGAATTTCCACCAAACTTTCGGGAGGAGACAGTAAGGGAATGCAGATACAGGAACGTTTACAATAACTTGTATCTTTGTATATATGTATAGACTAAAGTTTCTTATACTTACATTTAACACGTAGCGGCAGTTGGTTGCTGACAGTTTCTCCTTCATCATTTATTGCGCTGCATGCATAATTTCCCGCATAGTGTTTGGTAATTTTTTGCAATACCAAACTTTGATTAGAGCGTATAACACGGGCTGAAGTGTTGTGCTCCAGGTGAGCACCCTGAGAAAAGTAAATTAAAAAGTAATATTATTATGTGTTTTCATCGTGTGTGTGTGTGTGTGTTTGAGTGTGTATGTGTAAATTTCTTTCACTTGGGGAGATGGTGTGGATCGGAGATTTCAATGCTGATTTAAGATATATTGGATTTTCTAAATAAAATGGGAGTAGAATTCTTTAAAAAAAAATTCAGGTCCATTGAAGTGTATAAAAAAGGTGAAGAATTCTTAAAAGTATTTTTACAGGTCTATTACAAAAATAAGGGTGTAGAATTCATGAAAAATATTTTGAAATGTCTATTGAAGTGTGTACTTAAAAAATATATTTTTCCAAGGACTTTCGAGCCGAAAAATCTGTGAAAATTTATTTTTTAAAAACTTAAAAAATATCTTTTTTAGTTTTTAGGGTCTACCAAGGTATCGAATTTTTAAACATCAAAAAGTGCTGCATATTTTGTGTAAAACTACATTGAATCGATATTGGAGAATACCAAAAATTGTGCCCTCTATAAGTAATCGCCCGTAGCTTAGTAAATTTAAAAATGTGTGTGTCCATTTTTTCCACTTAACCAGAAATTATTTCCTTTCACTTTTTCTCCCCTTGCCCTTGAGCTTGAGTAAACTAAAATTTTTCTTTTCTTTGGTTACTTCCTCAAAAACCTCTAATTGCTGATTAATGGTTTGTGGTTACTGCTATTTTTCTTTGCCATTTATGTTGTTTTTGTTGCTCTTTTTTGCTTCTTTTTCATTTCTTCACAAGTCATAACTCTTAAAGTTAAACGGCCCCATGTGGTTTATGGCTAAAGAATGTACAACAGAACACAAATCAATTTTTTTTTATATGGAACATTATTCTTAGAAATTGTTGTAGTTTTTTTTCTGTAACTGGACTTTGGTGTAATGGTATATTTTTCGTTTCGACCCTTTTGTTGGGGATAATAATACAAGGGGAGGTGGAGAGGTGGGGAGGAAAAAGGCATTATGGTTAAGTATTTGAAGTATATTAAAGGACGGAGAATAAGAAGTAATTGTCTTTGTGGATTGAGGGAAGTAACCTGAACCGAAAATTCAAGGTAAGGATGTGAGGTCCTAGAAGGGAGTCTTTATAGAAGGGATTCTTTATAGAGGAGCTGAAGGGAGTCTTTATAGACGAACTGAAGGGAGTCTTTATAGACGAGCTGAAGGGAGTCTTTATAGACGAGCTGAAGGGAGTCTTTATAGACGAGCTGAAGGGAGTCTTTATAGACGAGCTGAAGGAAGTCTTTATAGACGAGCTTAAGGGAGTCTTTATAGACGAGCTGAACGGAGTCTTTATAGACGAGCTGAAGGGAGTCTTTATAGACGAGCTGAAGGGAGTCTTTATAGACGAACTGAAGGGAGTCTTTATAGACGAGCTGAAGGGAGTCTCTATAGACGAGCCAGGAGGGGTTTTTATAGACTAGCTGAAGTAAGTCTTAACAGACTAGCTGAAGAAAATATCCATACCCGAGCCCTAGGTAGTCTCAAAATAATTTTTCAGTAACTGGCGCCCAACGTAAACATTCTATAAATCATATATTGGTTGGTAACCATTTAAAGGTGTATTTAATGAATAAAACGTTTCGGTAATGAAACTAGAATGAATCTCCATCCATTCCTCTTTCATTTCTATAATTGAATTTTAAAGAGGCGAACAAAACGGCGGCAATGAAATCTTTTATAGACAGCGACACACCAAAAGCAAGTGAAAACACGCAGCTGTAATTTTAAAAATGCTATCAAATACTTACATTATGCAGCCATAAAAGTTTACGCCATTGAGGATTCGATTGTACGTGACACTCAAAATAGACATCGTCACCTTCTTTAATGTCATCGGGTGAAAGTGTTGAGCCCAAACGCAAGGTAACCAAAGGTGGATCTGCAAAAAATGCAAAAAAGAAAACAAACAAACAAATGAGAATAAAGGAAATTTTAATATTCCATAAGCATCTACTTGAACTTAAGAAATCGGAAACCACTTTACCCCCATACATCTACAGCTCTCAACAAAGAATCAATAGCCAACGAAAAAGAAATACCAGCTAAAAATACCAACAGCATCACCATCCGCCGCATCCTCATCAGCATGTGCCGAAGTACATCCCATCATCATCGTTATGATTGTTATCTTTAACCGGAATCAGTATTATTTCAACGCCCCACCACCACAACTATTATCAAAACATTGTCATCGCAACCATCAGTGTCAGTTGGTTGGTTATTGTTTTTGGTGTTCGGCGAAGTTTGTCGTTTGAAGCGTTTGCTTCAAAACTTTTGTCAAAAGCACACAAAAGACAAAAACAACAAGAACAACAACACAAATCCGAAACTGTAAACTTTTACTTAACCAACTTCCGTTTCCAACTAATCTTGGTTACTTGTTTGTCTTCCACACTGCCTTTGGCTAAAAAAAGAGTTTTTACTTAGTTGGGTCTTGTCGCTTCCGCCTAAAATTTTCTGTTAAGCTATGGCATACCAAAAATAGTGTGTGTGCTTGTGCTATGACATAAAAAAGACGGATGCTGTACAAAAACTTTTGCATGATTATGTTAAGGATGTGGGGAATATAATGACAAGTGGGCAATACCAGGAAATATGGGATATTCCATGGGGAAATGAGGAAGATAATGAGTACGGAATGCAATCATATTTGTAAATGAGCACACGGAACTTATAAGATTACCTACACACAAGCTGAATGAAGTCCCTATAGACTGGCAGAAGGCACCATTTTTAAGCGAGTTGATGTGAGTCTCTATAGACGAGCAGAAGAAAGTCTCAATAGACTGCTGAAAGTAGTCTTTCTACACGAACTGAATGGAGTCTCTATAGACCAGCTTAAGAATATATCTATAGACCAACTGGAGAGAGTCTTTATAGATGAGCTAATAGGAGTAAATAAACTAGCTGAAGGGAGTCTTTCTAGACAAGCCGAATTGAGTCTCTACCGACGAGTTGAAGCGAGTGTTTACATATCAGCTGAAGTAAGTGTTTATAAACGAACTAAATGGAGTATCTTTAAACGAGGTGAAGTCAATCTCTATAGACTAGGTGAAGGGAGTTTCTATAAACGAGAAGTATAAAAAAGGGAGTCTCTATAGCAGCGTTGACGGGAGTATTATTAGACCAGCTGATCGAGTCTCTCTCTATGAGGTACAATGAATTTTATAGTCTAACTGTAGGCCCAATGAGGGCAGTTCAGAGCTGCACACAGTACTTATAGACGATCTGAAGGGAATATTTATAGACGAGCAGGAGAAAATCTCTATAGACGAACTGAAGGGTGTAATTATGGACGAATTCAATTGCATATTATTTCAATGGCATATTTACGAGCAGAAAGGGGTCTTTATATGGATCCCCATTTTTTATAACCCTAATATAATAGTACCCTGTAATTGCGACAATTCGAAAGCTGATATCGGTTATCCAACCGAAGTGACTGTCATTTGGCATTCGGAGTCTTTGGTGAATAAACAACATATTTGCACAACATTGTTTATATAAAACTTTTTTTAACACAGCACCTTTATAAAATTCCCGTCTCCTATTCGATATGCTGAAGGTCCAATCCGAATTTCCTAGCCTGTATTTTTCCTGTCCCCAATTTGATAGAAGTTACATGTAGCTCCCATATAAGGATCACGACCGATCTTAGGTATGTTGAATGTCCATCCCGCGATAAAAAGTAATCAAAATTTGTCCCGGACCATGCCCTAAATTTCCTTACCTCTGAGATAATGGTAGGCATGTAAAACGATTTTTTTCTGGGGTGTGATTTTGACGGCCGGCCGGGGACTTCAAGGTTGCTTCCGCTTACGGGACATATCTACCACTTCTCGAGGACGTAATAATATATTATTAAAATATCAGTAAACTGTCCGACCAAAAATAGTTCAGAGATTTCGTAAATTTTCGCTGCAGGGAACTGCCCAATCCTTCTGATGAATTTTTAGCCTGTAATTTCCCTGTCCTCCATTTAATATTTGTTTTCACAGGGGATATTAATCCTCATGGAGACATGTTTAAAAGCTACCATATAAGGATCCTGATCGGTTTTAGTTACTAAATCCCTTTCGCTCTGTGATAATGGCAAGCATGATTTTATGGCCGGCAGGGGACATTAAAGTGGTCTCGGCGGTGATCTTATTTGCTAGCAGTCGCCTGCTAAATACCTACGCGTCGAATACTCGAATTTAGACCTATATTCCTAGCCGAGGCAGTATGATAAGCAAATAAGCGTAATTAACTTCGTCGTATGACCCCTAATAATCTGGGTTCATTATGGGTCATGCGACGAAGTTAATTACGCACAATCTCCGATAACAATCGCCGAAAGTCCAATCTGCAAGAGCTCAAAGATTTCACCAATTGTCACTTCAGAAAAATGTCCATTCTTTCTGATGTTCGGCAAGCAAAAATAAAATTCCGAAACATACTCAGATTCGCAGCCGCCTGGTAAATATCTGCATGTCGAACATCTGAATTAAGACATAACTTACCTAGCAGGGGCAGCATGATAAACCAATAAGCGTGATGAGCTTCGTCATACGATCCTCAATTGGGGCCAGAATCAGAGATCACAATCCCTGAAAGTCTAATTGGTAATATTTCAAAGATTTCACCCATTGTCGCTTCAGAGAACTGTCCTGTACTTCTGATGTTCGCGTAGGGAAATTCCGGAACATACTCATAGTTGCAGACGCCTGCTATATTATTGCATGTCGAACATCTGAATTAAGACCTAACTTACCTAGCAAGGGCAGCATGATAAAAATAATAAAAATAAGCGTGATGAGCTTCGTCATCGACCCTCAATTGGGGCCAGAATCAGAGATCGCAATCTCTGAAAGTCTAATTGGCAATAGTTACGAGATTTCACCAAATGTCACTTCAGAGGGCAACACAATTCTTCTGCTGTTTGGCTAGCAGAAAGGGCATTTCGGAAGATACTCAGAGCTGCAACCGCCTGCTAAATACCTTCGGGTTGAATACTCGAATTGATACCTTAATTCCAAGCAGAATAATAAGAGAATAAACGTGACGAGTTTGTTCGTATAAAACCTCGTTACGAGATATCGAGATATGACTCTGAAAGTCAATACATTATTCGGTAAGCATAAGCGGTATGTGGGGCTAGAATATTTTAGATGTTGTGACAACGGATTTTAATATAATCGGTAAAGAGTATAACTTCTCTCCAAGCCGGGGAAGAACCATTGCCATTATCGCTTGGTACTTGTTAAATCAAAACATGAAAATTGGGCATGATTTTCCCACTATTGAAAACAGTCAAGCGTATGTGGGGATTTTGAGGACCAACAACACAAGACTTTCCGAGGATTTTCTTTTTGGGGATCAAAAGACCAATAAACGTGATTTTTTCAAACAAAATGGTATGAGCCTGCATTTACTGGCGCCCAACGTAAGTATTGCCATTTATTTGTTTAAAAAGAAATTGAGGCTAATGATGATAGGAGTTCTGCCTCATTTAATGGCACTGTAATAATTCCCGATGCTTGAAAAATGTTTACCCTGCACATTTTCCCGCAACTGAAGATAGTTAAAAGTATAAACCGATTTTTAACACACTTTTTATGACGAAATCAACAATAAGCAAGGATTTCTTAGATATTTTTGTCAAGGACCAACACTACCATATGCTAGGATATATTTAATAATTTTTTTAAAGTAATCAATATTTTCCAAAAACCAATAAAACAATCAGATTTTTTACAACTTTTTACAAGGACGAAATACTTGGATTTTTAAATACAACTGATATGGACCAGCAATAAATGGCGCCCAACGTAACAATTCTTATTGTTTAAAAAATTGTGGAAGGCGCTTAGGGTTCATTTTCTCTAAGTACTTTCCCTATTTAGATTCCTAATTTTATATCCGCCCATATCGACTTTTAATGAATCCTTAATAATTTCACTTCTAATATCCCCTCAAATGTAGGCTTCCTATACAGCTTATAACAGGGATTACGTTTCACAAAGCGCACAAAAAGAAAGACGCCCAGCATCGACCTAAACTAAGTCGTAGGAAAAAAACAAAAAAAAAAAAACTCAAACACACGCACTTCTGTTGCAATGGCAACACAAGCAACTTAGCGTTAAGTAAAGAAACTTTGCAAAGAATTCGAAAAGAAAATGAGAATCCCGTTTTTTATTTCGAACAAATGAATAAATGAAAAAATAATGAGCGTCTGAACATTTGTGCGTTTATTTTAAGTGAATTTTAATGAGGAAACGTAACAACACCACTTTCAACACCATTATCCAAATCTTCTGGTTTGTTTTTTTCGCCTTCTACTTCTTCTTTGTTATGGTGTCACAACGTCATTTAAACTGTCAGTACCACTCTCTTTTTTTGCGGATGATTGGTGTTGTGTATACAGCATACATGGTAGGAGAAGAAAAAAGTAGGAAGAAGAAAAAAAACGTTGGTGTTCCATTTCTTTGTGAGGGGATCTTGTTTGTTGTTTTTGTAAAATTTACACTTGTTTGTACTTCTTCTGTGGAACGCCCACCAAGAACTTTGTTGTGATGGAAAAAGGGAGTTTGAAGAAAACAAAACAATAACATCAAAGGAATTAGAACTCGATTTTAGGTAGTTTGTTTTAAATTATATCATGTGACCCATAAGTCTATTAAGAAAATTGAAGTAGTTTAGTATAGTCTTTTTTCAAAATTAATAAATGGCGCCCAACGTGAGATTTTTCAAAATTTGTACCCGTATCGTCTGATTTGGATTTAAATGATTTTCATATTAATATATAATAATAACAAAACCTTCAATTTCATTTATATGATTTTCAAAATGGTAAATGGCGCCCAACGTGGGGGTTTTCCAAATTAATGCAATGCTCTG